TAAGACTACGAAGCAGGGGGGGGGGGGTGGTGTAAGTTTTAGAGATAAAATATACAATAAAGGACCCTTATTGGTACAAATAAAATTTAAGGGTGGTAGTAAAAAATCATAAAAGTAACCTCCCCCTGTCGTTCTTGTATTGGGGTAAATAAAAATAAAAGGAAGTCCCTAAAGAAAGTCACGACAATTCTGCATTCTATAAGCTCGAGGGAGGTTTGACGGCTAAGTTACAGGGAGAGGGGTCACGCCTTAAGGGAGGGTTTTAAAATGTTCGCCAGCACTAGAGAGGGATGAGCATGGGAAGAGGGGACAAAGAGAAAAAAAAAACATCCCCATATCCTTAAGGTTCCCGGTGACATCAGCGTAACCCATTGGGTGGAATACTCGTGAGGGTAGTATTGTAAACTATATATCTATATGTCGCGTAAGGGTATATATATCATGAATACTAGTAGTCAGTCTATCTAGAGGGTGGTTGCTCGTGGGTTGCGAGGGTTGCGATTCTCTCGAACGGTATATATATACCCGTCCCCTAGGTATGGGGTACACCGGGTGGTCTGTCCTTGTCCTGCGGATAGTTATATCGGAATTGCAAGGGCCCAAAGAGGAATGAGATGGGCGAGAACGAGGGGGTGAGGGTGTTGGCGGTGATGGCGGTGAAGCCGGTGTTGTCCCGACTCCGGGTAGTTTTCGACGCGGGAGGGTGTGCAGGAAAGTGGTGAGGAAGGGGTGAGGGAGGGAGGGGTTGATTTTTTTCCCCCGTGCAAAATACTCCCCAGCGATATTTCATCATTAGGATGACAGACCATGGTAGGGTTAGAGGAGAATATCCCATGCGTAGAGAGGCTATGTGCAGGAACGAGTCTCGTTATGGTGTCCCATAACATACATTGCTCATATAGATTTCCAACTAGTAGCTGTGTATGCTGGACGGTATTTATTCAATTCGTCAGGGTGGAGCAGCAATAAAAATCCAACACGCATCTGGTCAGGACAAACGTCAATTGATAGAAATAAACAACAACAAGAAATATGACAGCGTCAATGGGGAAAACTACACGGTAACCAATTCCAAGGGGGGTTTGACACCCCTAGCCGGGTAGTGACCTCCTGGCGCTTAATCGCTATGACTTTTACCTACAGATCCAAAACCGTGTAATTCTCCTTATGTTACTTCATAGCGGGGAGTACGTGGTATCTAGGCATGCGTGTGACACGTGGACTCTGACAAATGTTCTGGCCGAGGAGCAGCCTCCGAACCCCTGTCCCGTACGAATTGTAATTAATATGTAACACCTAGTAGGTAACTAGTAATATCAATGAAGACTCACAAATAGGTGTGATTGTACCTGATGATGTGGCCGATTATTGGGATGTGGCGCTGGCATGTGTGCCCCATGATGATAAACCGATACCGGATCATGTTTTAAGGGCATTGGAGTCCCCGCATTGTGCTTTCCCAAATCTGCAGCAAGGGCCTCCGCCCTTGACAATAGTCCATCCTGAAGACCACCGTTCAATCCTCCAAACAGGTCGCCCTGTAATTACAAGAAAAATTCCGTCAATTATTACAATAAGGAGTAGTGTACTGAACAAGAGACAAGCGGTAAGTCAATTATTAATAAATAAATGTTCAAGTCAATTTATTCATAAATAAATTTGAGTTTATCACGAATATTTTGTAATAGAATATATTGTCGATCTATTAACATGAGTGCCGTAGCGATCGTGGATATTGGCTCATGGCTAGTTATACAGGTATACATGGTGACTGGTCATTGGAAAAGCAACGGTGGAACGAAACCGTGGCGAGTTACCCTTAGATTATTTATGAACCCAAGTATTTCTTTATACAGGTCGACCCAAGTGCCAGGGCGTAAGACTAGGAAAGCGTTAATTTGAGATATATAGGTCCATCCAAAAAGTGCCTGAGACCCATTAATCCTGGGTAAGAGGGTTTCCAGCATGGTGTCAAGGGAATTCTTGTTGGTTCGAAGTACGTTGTTCCATCTCACTTCAATCTTTCTCTTGTTCCTCTGCGAGAGACTCACCGCGATTCTCAGACGTCCGGATACGAATTGCTCTCGTTAAGAACTACAGTTAACGCATACAGGAGGGACTCTGAACCATGTAAACTTGACCATATAAAACGAGCGTTCCTACGTGTACAGCCACAGCCTCTGAAGAATAACAAGAGAACCCACCCTGCCTTACACAGAGTACAATTCTCCCGTTTGGCAAACTTGTTGCTGACCCCAGTTAGCCCCCTACTTAACCGCTACTAATGGAGTCATTTTTCCAAGCTGTCCGCGTAGCAACGCCTTAAAGAATTGACCAATTACCATCGTATTACCAGTCCATTTATGGGGATCTTATGGCACCACTTAATCTTAGGACCGAAACTCCAGCTCCAAAAACAAAGCACTCCCCGCCTATAGTCAGCACTCAATTTGGACAGACTGGATAAATTGACTGCGTTAAACTAGAGTCTGGATGTAGAGTGGAAACTGGATAGACGCGCAGCACCGTTTGACAAGAAGAATTATTAGAACGAAGAAGAAAATTTACATGTCAATTGGAACCTTGTTTGTCCATATTGACGATCGGATGAGGAATAACCAAGAGAATTATCAAATTGGGACGATTACCGTTATTTCAGTCCGTTAACCCACATCGCCGGGAATTTCGCGGGCGAGATCGTCCGTCGCATTCTGAATAAATGAAAACGGCACCAGGCAAACTGACAGTTGACAGAAATGCCGCTAGACGGCACTAACAATTATCTGCATGTCGTAGCAGACGTCGTCTAGGTTGACGACTATTTTTGGTATGAACCACAGGACGGATTCTTCTACGATTAATTTTATCTGATTATCTCGCGAATACGTATAGCTACGTATCCACCTAATCAAACCGATTATTCGTCCTAATTACAATACACATATTTACGTAACGTTCACCAAACGTCCCTCTCAAATATTCGTATGTTCCTAACCCAGGGCCGGTTTAAGGATCTGCATAGACCCTCGGTCCAAAATTGTGCCATTAACTTAGTAACGAATTAATGAAAAATCAACCGATTGTCGTTGCCTCATTGCTAATGGTGCACTATGTTAAGGCGATACTCTAGGCACGGCCACTGTACCTACGGCGCTTGGCTAGAGGTAGACCAGAGACCAAGAAGAGGCGTTCCAGGTGCACGGACGATATCCGCAGAAAGCGTAAGTGACACTTGACTCTTTTTACGAGACTCAAGCTAGCCCGCAGGTTGGTATCTACTGGCAACACAGTGCGCCCTCCTCGTATATCTAAATAATCAATTTACTTCTGGCCATAATCGTAACCACGAGTTAGCGAGTTTATGCGGGGCTGCTACGGTAACTACGTGGGCTCCGTAAAGCATAAATATTATGGGTAAATTCGTACAGCATTACGCTCTCTTCTATCTGTTGGCCTATACATATCTACGTACATAGTACACATGTAAGATACAAAATTGGGACAGAGACAAGCGTCTAATTTAAAAAGATATAATTTTCTACAAGTATTCATAGGACACCAAGATCTTTACTGTACCGTATAACAGGAAGATAGATCTGAGGTACGTAATCAATTTCGCTTAGGTCACCCTCGAATTTGGCACCCTTCTTACTTTCTCACCCTTCGATATATCCAAGTCGACCAGCCCCCAAGAAGACGGGGACACTTGAGTGTTCGGATGAGTTGAATGGTGCATTGACGTTACTATGAATATACGTATGTAGCTGTTTATCTTCGTTATCCAGATGATATTTTTTTTAGGTCCGCAGACAAAAATCACACTTTTATATTGTATATGTGAAACGTGCTGATAATTGAGATTCGAATAGACCAGGTAAATTAAACCTGTAATTGGATCAGACGTGATGAGGAATATGTATATTTATATATGAAAATTTCAGTCCTGTAATCGAATAAATTCGAATAGTTTATGAAAGCGTCGAGACGTCGTGCCCCCAATTGATTAATCAAATTTCCAAACACTCCATTTAACCCAACTACAATACCTCATGAAGTCGATCTTAAGCTCGGAATTTGCATACCTCGAATCCACTGTCTACTATCAGTTCGTCCAAGATTGTCTCTTTATATATGTATATTATATACAGAGATACCGAGTTCAGCTGTATATCGACCGAAATTCACGACTTTCATGTGATCACTTTGTCAAGACACCATTTTCTAGCCATATAATTAACGTATAAATCAGGCATACGTTACAGGTATAATTTTGAATAATTAATATTTTCAATTTATTTAATATATAATAAAACGACACGTGCTAGGTACACGTACAGTTGTACAAAAAAGTATAAACCCTATCAAGTTCTCACTGAGAAAAATAGGAAACAAGATAATGATTATAATATTCTAATGGGAACTTAACAGTACTAAATCATAGGGTGTTTAGTCTATGGTGTTGTAATAGACGTTGCATGCATTTGTTGTATATAAAAAAATTTGATTTTTTTTATAGGGTATGTATACTTTTTTTTACGATTGTACAATGTCTAATCATATTATACGTTACGTAAGAGTTAGACTCACGTTGTGCCTCGGCGACCAGGAGTTGCACATTATTGAAGCGTCCTCAAGGATTCGACTCTGAAAAATCGAAAGAGAAAAAGTGTTTAAGAATTTGATGAGCAGACATGGGAAAGTCAGTGAAAGAGCATGGGGAAAGAAGTCACAATTTTTTTTATATAAAATAAAAATAAAGGAGAAAGGTCATAGTCAAATATCTGCATCCGCTCGTCAACCAATAGAAATATATATATAGCACATGTAAAAATACGTGAGAGTAATATTTGGAAAAGCGTCGACCAGGAAAGTCCCACTGGTCGCGATGCATATTTCATTCGATTAACTGCACAATATGTATATTTAAAGCCACGCCGAGGTAGATTGACGGAATTGGGGCGTCGCGGGCTTCCCTGTCGAGAGCGTCGCGACGCCTCGGCGTCGAGGTTACTTTGGGACTCCGAGCGAAACTGGGTGATCGAATTATTTCCAGGACCGATTTTACGCTAATTGTATTCGCAAATTTTACAGCTGAATTTACCTTTCATTGCTCTTGTCTACGTAGCTTCTCTGTTACCTGAACTATACATGCTGCATTTCATTGCACGGTAGTCCTATATCACTGGATATCGTAAAGGTATGATAACGTTACGATGCCTCGCGTAAAAGATGTACTTAAAGCTAGTCAATGAAAACGGTATACAATTTACTGTCCGATAAGATACATTGAGTAATGAAAAAATGAAAAATCAAAAAATTTTATTTGATTTGCATGAAAGATCAAAAATAGCTTACATAGACTCAATACGCCACAATCGTCGATTAAAATGAGTAACCAGCTAATTTAATAAAATAAACAAATACCAAGAAAGAATCAAACCAAGTGGCTACTTGCAGTAGAAGAAAAACAAATTTGTAAATTCCCTATATGCTGGTTACAACGATGAACCCAGGATAAAGGAAAAATAAATTACTTCCTATAAATGGGACAATCATTAATCCTCTTGAACCGAAGCACATTAGTCACAGGATGTTCCAACATAGACTCGTCCAATTATACCATTGGCGTTATTTCTAAGAAAACGAAACAACGTAAAGAAACCAAACAGCTAGAATTCGATCATTCGATTAATGTAAATTCTCTTTCATGTATTTGCTCGTCATATAAATGACAAGAAAGCGCGCGTTATATTACTTTAACTACCCAAATATGAGTATGGAAGTATCGCGTGTTGACGGAACATTCGAAATTGCATTATACAGAAATAATAATGAATCAAATAATACGCGAAGGTGCGTTACCAGTAAGCATACAAGTACGGGAGCTAAAATAAACACAAATTTTCCTTTGAGGATTTCGATCACGCATTGACAAATATCAATTGAAGTGGCTAATTAATTTAACAACTGTTCACATATCCCCATACGCTTCTGTCTATATTTGTTAACGGCGACTAGCTAATTACAGTATCCAACCAAGAGAAACGTCATAGACGCAACAATATCTAGGTAAAATGATTTTGAGATAAGAAAATCTTTTTTTACATAAATTTTCCATATCAAAGGATCGTAAAGTTATATACAATAAATTTCCTAAGACGTCGTTGCAAGGATGAAATTACTTCAGAGAGAAGAAACGTGTCTCTTCCAGAGACATGGCGAGTAGGAGATGGCTATGCACGGAGGAGGGTAAGATGGCGTGAGACAAGTTTCACTCCAAGTGGAAGTTTAACTGATAATTATCAAGATTTACCCCTGGGTGAGACAAGAGGGGCGAGGACGCCGGGGCAGAAGGGGGGAGGGAGCTCGTGCAGAGTCAAAGTGTGAAATCGTGTTCAAAGTCTCCCGCATCCTACCAGGACGACCTCTCTCGAGGTCGTTAATAACAAATGAGGATGGCTCCATCCTCATGCCTGCAGACTCTTCTGTCTCCGGACCCACTACCACTGCTGCTGCTTCTTGCTATCACTTCCACCAGCTGCTCCACCTCCGCACTTTTGTTAGGAATCGAGTCGACTGACTTCTGTCCCTGTTCGTCGTCATGTCAACTCTTTTTCATTATTCAGGAAGACTCGTTTAAGGGAAACTCAACCGGGCATCCCCAAAGTCCTGAGAAACACTTGTGGCGACATCCCTGTACTTCGTGCCATCGACTGCGAAGGATCAGCCAATTGTCTATTGGCGCCTGGAGCCATTGATTGGACTTTTTATTGAGACCGAGTACGTATGGAACCTTCTAGAACATTCGAGAACTTCCAAGAGCGTCCAACAACCTTTCGTCCTCTAAACTCTTTGGATCCAGCGGAAAAGTGGTAGCATAGTCGGATTTGGGTTGAGCCGCGCAGGACTCATTACGATTTAAAGAGAAAAACACTAGTACCGGGGAAGACGGGAGTGACTTGATAGGTTAGGGACGAGAGAGCGAGATCGTAGAGAGGAGCTAACGCAAAGATGCCTAAGAGCAGTCCGACGTCTACTAAAGGGAATTTATGAAATTTTCTAATGTAATATTCCGATTCGCAGACGTCCCTCGCCTTCGTTAACACTTTATCGTCTCCCTCGCCACACCTACAGCAGACTCTAGAACTTCGGCGAGTATATAATGTATGTGTTAGCACGTGGTAGTAAAGGTATCTTATTACGAAAAACAATAAGGTATTTTAACAATTGTATCCTCAAGGTACGTTCTTAATGTCAAAGTAGCATATTCAATTGTACCCTACGGTACATCCACCCTTGAACATCCATGTCCTTGGTTATTGCCATCAAGTGGATACGGGATGATCCCACAAGAACTTTAGCGCGGAGCCAATGAAACAGAGAGAATAAAAAAGAAAGGATGAAAGAAAGAGAAAAGGGAGATAGCTGTTGAAGCATGAAGAAAGAGTAGTTTGATCGTGCGGCTAAAGCGCAGAATACCTGCTGGCAAGTGAATCGTGAGTGACTGTAGCCTGGTATAGCTATATACAATTACAGCAATGGTATATAGATATAGAAACGTATGAACGCTATATACCATGTGGTAAAGAAGGCTAGGTAGTATATAGAGAAGAGTCGGTAGGAGTGAGTGCCGTGGTAGAGAGATGGAAAACGTAGAGAGAGAGAGAGAGAGAGAGAGAGAGAGAGAGAGAGAGAGAGAGAGAGAGAGAGAGAGCAAAGTAAAAATCCGTGATTTGAAGCGGCCGTGTCGAGGGCTGCTCCGCTCATTGGCTACATGGGCTGTTCCGCCCCCGCAGCCCCGCCAATCAGACCGTGCGTCTCTCTCATCGATCCACACCATCCACTACACTCGGCCGCCATGCTCAAAAGCCCGTGGCTCGTGCCTGCCTGCTTACTCGCTATATCCACTGCACGCAGCCACTTCTGACACACCGTGCCAAATTCTGCTTCAAATTTTTTTTCGCTTTTCAAATCGTCCTCTACCCTCTACTCGCTCTTCGTCATCCTTTTTATCCTAATCGCTTTTTCTCTTTGCAGTCAAATCACAAGGTACGAGATGGTGACTGGACCTGGGGTAGTCGAGTAAAATTAGTACAGAAAAAAATTGAGATTTTAAACGAAGGGTTGACAGTTCTATAGGGATACGAGGGCATTGGAATTTTATAAAGATTGACTTTTTATTTAAATACATTTATACCTTGTGATTATCATGGCCCACATAATAATACAGGGCTGCCATTATTATCAGGTAGTCTCACTCCTCCAATGGGGGAAAACCTTCGAACCGATCTACAATTCCCATTTTTTCGCACCCCTGAGATACCACCGCCACCGATGTATACCTTTAGGTTTTCTAGACTGTGCATATAAGCACTATTGCATTCTATATGTCTACATGACACCAATTCTCAATTAGAAATACCGAATTGATGTAAAATTTGTATACGTGTTTTTGGTGTTTGGATTTGAAGGAACTGCATAAAAATTAAAAATGTTTCTGCAGGAATGGTAAGAATAATCTAATTTCAATTAATTTAATTTAGAAAGTCAATGTAAGAAGGTTGTTATGTGAACGCTAGCGATCGGTGTGACGTCATTGCACCTATTCCATCATAAATTATTAAGTCACGAGCCAATAGGACCTAAAATTCAAAGGCTACGCTGCGCTGGATTGGATAGCGTGTAATTTGAAAATCTCAAATAAATTTGAAATCATTGAGAAATGTGAATAATCGTTATTTCAGACAACGATTTTTCAATATCATTATAAAATTACGGAAGAAACGGTTAAGAATATTTTTTGCATATTTCATACTTTATATGATGAAACTTCAATTTAGTTTAATTTACGAAGCTTCGTACGCGTGAGACTTTAAATTATTACATGACAACACTTATAAATCATTAAAAATTTTATGCCATCATATATCACATCTTTATCATTGCTTTAAAACGAAAAAAAAAGAATAGTGATCTGCAAGCAGATCTACTGAGCCGAGTCTCACGTAATCTGTCAACTACACTACTACAGATTTTCAAAATCCTTTTTTTCCTAAAAAAATAAATCCTAACAGACGGAACACAATGTTTTAAAATTACACACACATAATTTTTTTCACGAGGAACCATTTCCCTTTGGATTGTACCACGATTTCCGTCTCACCCTGTATATATTTTCAGTACATTAAGATCCACTATCTATATACCAATTTTACGGCTTCTAATCTCTGAAATATCGATATTGTCGTACTGGAGGTATAACAAATATAAAAAAAAAGGAAAAAGGTTAAATGGCCAAATCCCACGAAATAATTTATGAGGGATCCTTGCGGTCTGCTTGACGGTACCAATAACACGATTGAAAAGGCAGCTTTATGGAACTGCCGGCACGATAATGAGATAGAGCACCAATATACATGGGAAGATAGACAAATACATATAAAATAACCAACGAGTGAGAAAGAGAAGCTCGCAGTAGAGTAGCAGAGAGCAGTGGGCAGGCGAGAGTGAGGCTCGACACACTCGTTTTATTATTTACACTCAGATAGGAACAGTACACACGCTTAACGCCACGTACAAATATTGGTCACCCTTCCATTCCCTACCCTTCTCCTGCTTTCTTCCATCCTCCATGAATTCTGGTA